ATGCTCACGCTGCAGATCGAGGAAAGATGCAGCAGAAGCAGCGTGTGAAGGCATTGCTTGTCTTCCTGTTGCTGCTATTGCTGCTGCTGCTGCTGCTGCTGCTGCTGCTGCTGCTGCTGCTACTGCTGCTGCTGCCAGTTGTTTGTGTTTATTATATAAACTTCTTTGTTTCGTTTGTTGTGCTGCATGCAGTTACCTCCGCTGGTGAGGGCGCATGCGTTGCACCTGTATGCGTAAACAACCCTGCTGCTTCTGTTGCTGCTGCTGCTGCTGCTGCTGCTGCTGCAGCAACAGCAGCAACTGCAGAAGCAGTACCAGCAGAAGCAGCAAACGCAGCAGCAACAACAGAAGCAGCAGCAACAACAGAAGCAGCAGCAACAACAGAAGCAGCAGAAGCAGCAGTTACAGCAGCAGCAGCAGCTACAGCAGCAGCAGCAGAACCAGCAGCAGCAGGGGAGAGCGTTGCTTGCTCTGTATCTCTCGATCAAAGAGAAGAAAAAGAAAGAAAAAAAGAAGGAGACAGAAAAAAAGAAAAAGAAGGAGACAGCAGAGAAAAAGAAAAGAGACAAGAAAGAGACACAAGAGGAGACAGAGACAGCGAAGAAAAAGAAAAAGATAAAAGAGACAAAGAAGAGGAAAGCAGAGACAGAGACAGGGGCCCTGGTGCTGCTGCATGCGTCGCCGCTGCTGCAGCAGAAACAAAAATAAATATAGATACACTCGTAAAAGAAGAAACAACAGCAACTGAAGCCAACAACAACAACAGCAGCAGCAGCAGCAACAGCAGCAGCAGCAACAGCAGCAGCAGCAGCAAAACAACAGCAGCAGCAGCAAACAACAACAACACCCTCTGCCTCAACCCCCAAGAGAAGAAGACACAGAAAGCTCAGCGGCAGCTGCATGCAGCACCAGCAGCAGAGACACCGCAATCTGCTGCCAGCAGACGCTCGCAAGCAGATACCAAGCCCAAGACTGCTGCTGCTGCTGCTGCTGCTGCAGCTGCTGCTGCTGCTGCTGCTGCTGCTGGTGCGCGCAGCGGCAAGGCTGCAGATCCCCTTGATGCATGCACTCTGCGCTCGCTGAGCTCAGTAGGAGGAAGGAGAAAATTACATACGGCTGCTTCAGCATCTCTTGCTGCTGCTGCTGGCAGCAGCAGCAGCAGCAGCAGCAGCAGGGAAACGGCTGTGGGAGAGGCTGCATCGGCTTCTTGCACTGCTCCTGCTGCTGCTGCTGCCGCTGCTGCTGCTGCTGCTGCTGCTGGTGAGAAAGGGCAGCGGACGCGGAAGCTTCCTCTGGCCCGCGTGGCCTCGCTGGCGTTGCAGCGGCAGCAGCAGCGGCAGCAGCAGCAGGAGGCCCCGCAGCTGAAGGCAAATCAAGGGCTCAGCAGCAGCAGCAGCAGCAGCAGCAGCAGCAGTAGAGTCCGCCCCCAAGACTGCAAAAGACAGGAGGGGGGGCGT